GGGCGCCTGTAGTCCCAGCTACTCGGGAGGCTGAGGCCGGAGAATGGCGTGAACCCGGGAGGAATTCTCTCATAACCTTTTTTGTCTTGTCTGTCATCTCTGTTCATCCCTTCCTATAACCTCTAGGAAAAAAAAAAAAAAAAAAAGAAATTTCCAGATATGAAAAAAATCAAGAGTGTACATAGTGTGTGTACAGGTGTATCTATATATACACATACATACGTATGCACATAAACACACGCAGACCCATATAAAATCTTCCAAAAGTATGTACTGTTCTAAAAACCTCAGTAAAGTCAGATGAGAATGGATACAAAGAGTACTTAATTTTTAATTGATATACTCCACTATGTACTGACTTTTTACTTGTAAATATATTGCCTTTTATAATTAAATGCACTGACACAGCTATGAGGAACAAAAATGTTAAAAGTTTAGGACTCAACTGTTCTTTTTTTTTTTTTTGAGACGGAGCCTCGGTCTGTTGCCCAGGCTGGAGTACAGTGGCGCGATCTCGGCTCACTGCAACCTCCGCCTTCCGGGCTCACGCCATTCTCCTGCCTCAGCCTCCGAGCAGCTGGGACTACAGGCGCCCGCCACCACGCCCAGCTAATTTTTTTTTTTTTATTTTTAGTAGAGATGGGGTTTCACCGTGTTCGCCCTCCTGATCTCCTGACCTCGTGATCCGCCCGCCTCGGCCTCCCAAAGTGCTGAGATTACAGGTGTGAGCCACCGCGCCCAGCCCGACTCAACTGTTCTTAATGTGCTGTAATACACAAAATGACCAGATATTTGTGGAAAAAGTCCCAAATTAAAGATGTTTAGCATCACCCTTGTGGAACAGTTTAAATAAATCAAGATCTACTTTCCATTCTAGCACTTTGTCCTCCCCTCCTCCACTGTAGATCAGAAAGCAAGAGAGAACAGAGTGCTACTTCAGAAACATAACCTCTACCCAACACCTTCCTCCCTTACAAAACTCCTTATATACAGTTTCACACTTTTTTTTTTTGAGACAGCTCTGGCTCCCAGACTGGAGTGCAGCAGCACAGTCTCAGCTCACTGCAATCTCTACCTCCCAGGTTTAAGTAATTCTCCTGACTCAGCTTCCTGAGTAGCTGGGGTTACAGGTGCCCACCACCATGCCCAGCTAATTTTTGTGTTTTTAGTACAGACAGGGTTTCACCATCTTGGCCAGGCTGGTCTTGAACTCCTGACCTCGTGATCCACATGCCTCGGCCTCCCAAAGTGCTGGGATTACAAGCATGCGCCACTGTGCCTGGCCTAAGTTTTACACTTTTACAGAAAAGTGCAAAACTCTTATAAACAGTTAAGAGAATGGGCTGGGCATGGTGGCTCACACCTGTAATCCCAGCACTTAGGGAGGCCAAGGTAGGTGGATCATTTGAGGTCAGGAGTTCAAGACCAGCCTGGCCAACATGGTAAAACCCTGTCTCTACTAAAAACACAAAAACTAGTCGGGCAGTAGTGGCGCATGCCTATAATCCCAGCTACTCGGGAGGCTGAGGCAGGAGAATTGCTTGAGCCTGGGAAGCGGAGGTTACAGTGAGCCGAGATCACGCCACTGCACTCCAGTCTGGGCAACAGAGTGAGATCCTGTCTCAAAAAAAAAAAAAAAAAGAGTTAACAGAGTTTATACAGTTTTACACTGTATACAGAATTGTACAGATTCTCTATAGAGTAACAGAATAATCTATTATAGTGACTCTACAAAAGAACAACAAAGGCTAGGAGAATTAAGCTATGTCTGGGCTTGAAGTCGCCTTGTCCTAATTACCTATTACATAACTCAGAGACAATTTGTTTTGTTTCACTGGGACCAAGTACTTTGAAGCAGTCCCTTCTAAAAAACAAAAAATGACCTAATCAGAAATGAAAAGGCCAATGGGAACATGTAAGAGGTAAACAGAGTTAAACATTAAACACAATAAAAAAAAGAGCTGCCTGCTCTGTACTCAGATTATAAAAAAGAGATAATTACACATCAACAGTTTTTTCAGGGGGTTCTTCCTCTTTGACAGGCAGCTCAATGGGCTTTGTTTCTTCTTCCTAAAACCAAATGAAACAAGGTGGTTAACATAAATCTAAACAATAAATATCTATAAATAGAAGAACATCAGAACTCCAAAATAAACCAGTCTCTCAGAACCTTCATACCCATCTTATGATCCCCTAATAAATTTATATCTAAGTCTTCCAATGACTGATGTTAAAGCAATGTGGCCAAAGCAGTGTCATATTACCAGACCAGAGACTAACCTTACTCTATCCAACTCACCTCTGTTTCATCTCCCAGTACATCTTCTTCATTTGCCTCCTCTTCAGCTAAAGAATATTAAAATATTTAGGTCAAGCCCTGCTACAAAACCATCTTGATCACTTACCAAGGTTAAAATTATAATCACTTTGCTTTCCCCCAAAAAATCCAATAGTGAAGGCAGAAATTGATGCACATAAAATCTGCTACATCTGGAGAAGACAAAACCAGATCTTTACCTAACATTAATTACAAATCTGAACTCCAGTTGGACTGAAGAACTAAATGTGAAGTCAAACTAGAGAATTAATTTTAATTTTAAAAGTAATGTGGGGTCAGGCACCGTGGCTCTCTGTAATCCCACAAATCTGGGAGGCAGAGGCAGGTGGATCCTTGAACCCAGGAGTTCAAGCGACCAGCTTGGGGAACACAGTGAAACCCCGTCTTTACAAAAAATATTTAAAAAGTAGCTGCGTGTGGGGGTGTGTGCCTATAGTCTTAGCTACTAGGGAGGCTGAAGTGAGAACATTACTTGAACCTGGAAGGCAGAGGTTGCAGTGAGCTGAGATGATGTCACTGCACTCCAGCCTGGGTGACAGAGCAAGACCCAGTCTTGAAAAATAAACAAACAAAAAAAGTAATGTGGAAAAGTATCTTTGAGATTTAGTGGTGGGGAAAGATTTGTTTAAAAGAAAAACAACTCAGAAGCAAAAGTAAGAGGTGAAAAACTGAATATTTTTCAAAACTAAGTACTTCTACTTAAGGATAGCACAAAGAAAGTTAAAAGACAAATGACAAGATATTTGTTTCTGTTGAGACAGAGTCTTACTCTATCGCCCAGACTGAAGTGCAGTGGCACAATCACAGCTCCCTGCAGCCTCCACGTCCTGGGCTCAAGGGATTCTCCTGCCTTAGCCTCCCAAGTAGGTAGGACTGTAAGTGCACATCACTACACCCAGCTAATTCTATTATTTTTCTTAGAGATGGATCTCACTATGCTGTCCAGACTGGTCTCAAACTCCTGGCCTCAAGAGGTCATACCACCTTAGCCTCCCAAAGTGCTGAGTTACAGGCATGAACCACCCTGCACAGCCAAAGAAGATATTTGTGCCTAAAACCAACAAAAGAATAGTTATTAGGATACAAAAGAAATGTCTGCAAACCAACAAGCAAATTATGGGAACCTCAATAGAAAAATGGGCAAAGAAGAAACAAAAGAATTGTGAAATGTTTAAACTTTTTTCATGGAGAACATAAAACAGCCAACAAATTAGCAAAACTTAGGCCACTTGATAGGAGAGTGCCAAGTTTAGGTTTGTGGAGATACAAGAACCCTTATGTACTAGTAATGAGACTGTAGATCTATAGAGCAATTCTGGAAAACAATTTGGGAGTCCTTAGTCACATTAAGTATATATGTATGAATATTAATTAGAAATACCACTCTTGGGCATATACCCCAAAAAAACTTTCACAGGAACTTAAAAGCATGAAATAAGTAGTTCATAATAATATACTATATATTATTAGTATATAGAATATAGTATACTATACCCTACAGGTCAAGCATCGCCAATCCGAAAATTCAAAACCTAAAATGCTTCTAAATCTAAAACTTTCTGAAGGCTGATACAACCCCACAAGTGGAAAACCCCACACCTAACCTCATGCGATGGGTCACAGTCAAAACTTTGTTTCATGTACAAAATTATTTTAAATACTGTGTAAAACTACTTTCAAATATATGGATAAGAAACAAATGAATTTTGTGTTTAGGCTTGCATCTCACCCCCAAGATACCTCATTACATATATACACAAATATTCCAAAATCCAAAAAAAATCTAAAAACTGAAACATTTCTGGTCTCAAGTATTTCAAATATATAATATTCAACCCATAGCATAATATATACTATATACTATTACATACATATAGTATACTATAAGTAGTATCACTTGTAGTAGCAGAGGCTTGGTGGCAATATGTTTCTGTCACCGAGTGAATTAAGTAAAACGTGTGGTTATCCATCATGGAATGCTATGCAGGAATTAGAATCAACAGACTAGATAACTACACAGTCACATTCCACACGGACACATTTAAAAAAAACACAACACTTAGTGAATGAAATGAGAAATAAAGCAAGGCTATGGCCAGTTATATAATTACCAATTATATAAATGAAAACATTCTATGAAACAACACTATATATTTTATCATGAAAAAAACCAAAAAAATACATTCAAACACATTAGAATGGGTGCCTAAATGGGTTGGGGAGGAAGTGAAACGAGGAATGGAAATAAAAGGGAATAAGTAAATAAAAATTAGAGAGGGGACTTGTACAACCTGAGATGAAGGTTGTACAAGATGGCCAGGCACGGTGGCTCACGCCTGTAATCCCAGCACTTTGGAAGGCCGAGGCGGGTGGATCCCCTGAAGTCAGGAGTTCTAGACCAGTCCGACCAATATGGTGAACCCCCGTCTCTACTAAAAATACAAAAATCAGCCAGGCGTGGTGGCGTGCACCTGTAGTTCCAGCTGCTCGGGAGGCTGAGACAGGAGAATTGGTTGAACCCGGAAGACGGAGATTGCAGTGAGCTGAGACTGCGTCACTACACTCCAGCCTGGGCAACAGAGCGAGACTCCACCTCAAAAAAAAAGAGTTTTCTTGATGCCGTTAATTAAGAGCTTACATCACTAATGACTTAAAAAAGAAAAAAAGAAATATTTTCAGTGTCAAAGCCTGAAAATCCCCTCACTCACATCACTCTGCCTCCACAAAGTACTCACCATGTTCTTCAAGATATGCCTGGAGTCTGTGGATAAGATCTTGCTTTATTCCCTTGGTCTCCAAACCACGAGCAAGACATTCTTGCTTTAGTTCAGCAAGCTGAGGGGAAAAAAATAAAACTTTTCCTTAGTTAACAGGATGAACACCAGTGAATAAAACGGTAGTTCCCACAAGAAAAAGAAAAAAAGAAAATGAAGTTCCATCCCAAATTACTGCCATTAATTCTACCAAGACTCTAGGTCCACAACGATGATCCATTTTCCTCTAATGATATTCAATACACAAGAGGAACTGCCTAAGGATAAACATCACACTTTAATAAAAACTTCATCTATTTGCATACCTACTAACTGTCACAAATCTCGTTATTTCTAAATATTCTAAGGGGGAAAAAGGTTTTATTCCAAAGATTACTGTGGCAGCCAGCATATTGGAAGAATGAACCTTCAAGCAGAAAATCCAATGATCTAAAAGCAGATTCTCCTTACCACTTATTATCCCAGATCCTTTATTACAATCTACCATATACATGCATACAGATGTAACCACCGTAGAATCAAGTAGATACATTAGCTAATGTCAACAATGAACTGATTAAAGGATCTATCTCAAAATGAGAAGAAATATCTAATGGCATACCCTAGAGTTCTGCTGAAGATTTTAAAATCAGTAACTTATCTAAAGATATAAAAGCTATGTTCATCAATTTTACAGACAATAGGAGGAGGAGAATTGATGTATTACGGACATAACTAAGCTTAAAAAACACCACAGAAACAGAAAAAAGAAAAAAAAAAAACACTTCTTCAGGACTAATAACAAGCCAAAACAAAGACTCAATTTAGAAGGAATAAGGTATACATATAAATTCCTACACTTAGATTCAAAACTTAAGTTATACAAAAACTGGATAAGTGAGGATTGGCTCAATAGTAACTCAAAGGATAAAGACCTCAGAATTTTAGGCAAAGAAGGTTAACAGTATGATTTGCTACCTGTAAGTCATAGGTAACTGAAATATAGACTCCATAATAAATGATGTAATGGCCTTACTGGGCTCTATATTCTTATTTTATGAAGCACAATGACATGCTGACCCAGGAGAACAAGCAGGAAAGAAAGGCTCCAGAAATTCTATATGCAGATCAACACACAGATAGATGTCTGGTCTGAAAGATGACCTTTTTTGTTTTGAAGCACAGATCTATGACCAATCAGAAGCTAGAAGGCAGATTCCTATAGACAAAAAATTTTACAACTATGGAGTATTCCCTGCATCTCTACATTTTTCAGCCAGGGAAACATTTCATAATGAAGAGTGGAGAGTTTTTTCTATTTTTAAAATATATCACAATGACTGGTAAAGCATTTAGTGAGTGGGGCAGACAGGAGGGGATGTTACGAACGGAAGTGCCCAACCCAACAAGCCGAAAGCAATCTCTACTGAGGAACATGGTAGGTAACCACGCATTAAAAATTATTTTTAGGCCGGGGACAGTGGCTCACGCCTGTTACAGCACTTTGGGAGGCCAAGACGGGCAGATCATCTGAGGTCAGGAGTTCAACAGCAGCCTAGCTAACATGGTGAAACCCCATCTCTACTAAAAATACAAAACTAGGCTGGGTGCGGTGGCTCACGCCTATAATCCCAGCACTTTGGGGCGCCTAGGTGGGCACATCAACTGAAGTCAGGCGTTCAAGACCAACTTGGTCAACATGGTGAAACCCTGTCTCTACTAAAAATACAAATATTAGCCGGGCATGGTGGCAGGCACCTATAATCCCAGCTATTCAGGAGGCTGAGGCAATAGAATTGCTTAAACCCAGGAGGCGGAGGTTGCAGTGAGCCAAAATCATGCCATTGCACTCCAGCAGATGAAAGAGTGAGACTGTCTCAAAAAAATAAATAAAAATTAAAATATAAAATACAAAACTAGTCAGGCATGGTGGCGCATGCCTGTAATCCCAGCTATTCAGGAGGCTGAGGCAGGAGAACGGCTTGAACCTGGGACGCAGAGGTTGCAGGGAGCTGAGACCGTGCCATTGCGCTCCAGCCTGGATGCCAAGAACGAAATTATGTCTCAAAAAAAAAAAAAATTATTTTTAAGGCTTTAGCCTGTTTAAAAAAAAATGACTGCAGAGTGACTGGAGAGCATAGACTCTGAAGCCAGACTACTTAGGTTAGAATTCCAATTTTACTACTTGCAACCTTATATGAATAACTTCACCTCTCTGTGCCTCAGTTTCCTTACTTGTGAAATAGGAACAATAACAGTACCTATTTCATAGGGTTGTTATGAAGATTAAGTAAAAAAAAAAAAAAAATTTTTTTTTTTTTTTTTTTGAGACGGAGTCTTCTTCTGGTGCCCTGGCTGGAGTACAGTGGCACGATCTCGGCTCACTGCAACCTCTGCCTTCTGGGTTCAAGTAATTCTCCTGCCTCAGCCTCCCGAGTAGCTGGGATTACAGGCGCCCACCATCACGCCTGGCTAATTTTTCTATTTTTACTAGAGGCAGGGTTTCACCATGTTGGCCAGGCTGGTCTCGAACTCCTGACTGCAAGTGATCCACCTGCCTTGGCCTCCCAAAGTTCTGGGATTACAGGTGTAAGCCATTAAAAAAAAAAAGTATATATAAATTTTTTATATATAATGAGGATCATTAGGTCAAGAGGATCCTGAGGTCAAGAGATCCAGACCATCCTGGCTAGCACGGTGAAACCCTATCTCTACTAAATATATACATATATATTTTTTTGTTTGTTTTTTTAATGAGACGAAGTCTCACCATATCAGTCAGGCTGGAGTGCAGTGGCACGACCTCAGCTTCTGCAACCTCTGCCCCCCGGGTTCAAGCGATTCTCCTGCCTCAGCCTCCCGAGCAGCTGGGACTACAGGCGCACGCCACCGTACCCATCTAATTTTTGTATTTTTAGTACAGATGGGGTTTCACCATATCGGCCAGGCTGGTCTCGAATTCCTGACCTTGTGATCCGCCTGCCTCGGCCTCCCAAAGTGTTGCGATTACAGGCATGAGCCACTACGCCCGGCCTTAAATCAAAAATTCTATCAAGCATTTAGAACAGTGCCTGACAGCTAGTAAGTGCTTTATATTTATTAAGTACTAAATCACTGGTCTCAGATTTCATAGTTTCACAAATTAATGTATTTTTATTTTATTTATTTATTTTTAGAGACAGTGGTCTCGCCATGTTGCCCAGGCTGAACTTAAACTATTGAACTCAACTAATCCTCCCACTCCAAACTCCAGCTGGGACTACAGGTACACACCACTGTGCCCAGCTCAATGTACTTTTACATAGATAGGCTGATAAGGTTGCTTTTTACAACATTACAATCAGGTCATGGAGCAATACTTTTGCAATAACAATAAAAATCAATTACTACAAAAATGAGCACACACTTGGATATCGCAGTGCTATCAAACTGCTGTAAAACTTTCTAAAAGCTTACACTCAATTTTTGTATTTATTTCACCACTAACCAGGAACAGCTAGTTCATGGACCAGCAGAGGCCTGTGAACTATACCTTAAATAACATTATAAGTCATTTTTAATGTCCCTTTATTAAGTAAGAATCTTGATTTCCGTGGCTCATGCTTACAATCCCAGTCCCTTGTGAGGCCAAGGCAGGAGGACTACCTGAACCCAGAAGTTTGAGACCAGCCTGGGCAACACCATGAGATGCCATCTCTATTAAAAAAAAAAAGTTTTTTTGGTCGGGAACGGTGGCTCACGCCTTTGGGAGTGATCCCAGCACTTTGGGAGGCCGAGGCGGGCGGATCATGAGGTCGAGATTGAAACCTTCCTGGCTAGCATGGTGAAACCCTGTCTCTACTAAAAATACAAAAAATTAAAAAAAAAAAAATTAGCTGGGCGTGATGGGGGGCACCTGTAGTCCCAGCTACTCGGGAGGCTGAGGCAGGAGAATAGCGTGAACCTGGGAGGCAGAGCTTGCAGTGAGCTGAGATCGTACCACTGCATTTCAGCCTGGGTGACAGAGCGAGACTCCGTCTCCAAAAAAAAATTTTTTTTTTTAAAAGAATCTTGTTCTTTCTCACGCTGATACTTTATTTTCTTTCCACTTTCTGGAGAACAAGTCATTTGATTTTAATTACACTTTAAATTTTTTGTTAGTTTATTATAAAAGTATTATGTTCACTGTAGAATAGTTAGAAAATTCTGAAAAGTTTAGAGGAAAATAAAAGTCATATGTAATCCCGGCACTTACAGATCACTTAACATTTACATATATCATTTGTAGGGAGGCGTGAGCCACTGAGCTCAGCCTACATACAGCTTTTATATAACGTTGTACGACTTCTTTTGTCATATAGTGAGTTCTTCTCATATACTAGGACATTATTTTAAAAGGGAAACAGAGGCTGGGCATGGTGGCTCATGCCTGTAGTCCCTGCACGTTGGAAGGCTGAGTCAGGAGGACAGCTTTGAGCCCAGGAGTTCAAGAACAGCCTGGGCAATAGAGTGAGACCCTGTTCCTAAAAAAAATATATATATATTTTTTTTAATTAGTCACACAAGGTAGCACATGCCTGTGGTCCCAACTACTAGGGAAGCCAAGGTGGGAGGAACGCTTGAACCTGGGAGGTCAAGGCTGCTATATAACTGTGATCACAGCATTGTACTCCAGCCTGGGCAACACAGTGATACCTGGCAAAGAAAGATGGCGGAAGGAAGGAAGGAAGGACGGATGGAAGGAAGGACGGACGGACGGACGGAAGGAAGGAAGGGAAAGAGAGAAAGAAAGAGAAAGAGAGAAAGAAAGAGAAAGAAAGAAAAGAAAGAAAGAAAGAAGGAAAGAAAGAAAGAAAAGAAAGAAAGAAAGAAAAAAGATTAATAAAAACATAAAATAGCTGAAAATGATGTCATTTCTTTTTGCACATATTTCAGCACAATTAATTAGCAGAACTAAAACCTTTTAAAACTTAAAATAGGACTAACACAAAATCTTACTCCATTTTTCTAAATTGATTTGATTTGATTTGAAATGTTTTGACTCCAGCACTTTGGGAGGCTGGAGGTAGGCGGATCACTTGAGTCCAGGAGTTCGAGACTAGC